TTATAAATATACTATTGGATTTTTAAAAATTTTATAAGTTTTTATTATATTTTTAAAAAATCTGATAATGTCAATTTCATTTTCTTTTCTTATAAGAAATGAACTACAAGATTTAAAAAAAAAAACAAAATTATAAAACATATTAGATTTATCAAAAAATTTAAAAATATTAAAAAAAAATTTATTCGGTAGAAATGCATTATTGAATTTTTTTTATTCATATTATATTTTTCAATTGCAATACTAACTTTTTCGTGCGCTTATTTTGATTAAATTTTAACAAAGTGTTTTTATTCATATTAAAGTGTTTTGATTAATGGTGTCTTTCGAACCCACCATTAACATGACACATTCAATAAGCAATTAAATTTATCATTTATATTATTCAAAATGACAAAAAAAAATTATGATATTGATCCAACACATCAAACAACTATACTAACTAAAACATGTCAAAATTGGAGACATCATCAAATACATCTGAATCTATTAAATTCATGACATTAGACTTTTTTTATTGTATTCCAAATGGAAACTTTCATTCACCTGATTCTTCATTATAACATGTTCTTAATTTTACATATATTTATGGTAGAAGACATTTTGGTTTTAAGTAAACTCAAATAAAATGCATCATATTTGCAAGTAATTCAATACGTATAGCCTAACCATCCATATTATTTGAAGGGAGATTTCACATAGGAAAAAAAGTTCTAAAAAACCATATTTTGTAAACTCAATTAAACTATGCATATGCACTTGCTACAATAAATCCATTAGATGAAAAATGTGTTAAATTTAATGAGTCCTGGATGCACCCAAAATATATCTTGAATGAATTTCTCATTACTAGACATTTTACACCTACATATATAATATATAATCATGTTTATTCACCTGTTTTATCAACTACTATATTTCAATTCTTGGACCCTTTATAACTTTGTTATTTCTCTGCCAAACATTATAAATTATAATTTGTTACATTTTCATACCTCTTTTTCTCAAATTTATGAGTTTTTTTTTTTTTGACAAAACCATGTTCATTGTCATATTAACAACAATTTTATTTTCTTTAGTACCTAAGTTGTAAGGTTTTAATTATTTGAATTATGTTATCTTAATTAAATTTGGTGTGTTTATGAATTATTTGGTTCATTTGATTGTTTTATAAGGATGGGAAGAATGACTATTATTTATTTAATTATTTAATTAATTAGAGTATTATAAATATAAGAGGAGTCGAGTTTGGGGGTAGGAAGTTAGAGTTTTGAGAAAAGTAGGGAGGTGGATGTGATAATAGAGAAGATGAAGGGATTTAGAAAATTATTTGGAATGAAATAAAAATAAGAACTATTTTATAAAATATAAGAGGGGGATAGAGAACTTAATACGTGAAAAGTTTGAGAAAAAGAAGGGTAAGAGAGAACCAAATCCTAGTATAGCAAGAGCAAGAGTGAGGAGTGACATCGTCAAGGTTGAAACTTTATCGCATAACCGAGGTAAGAGGGGATCTTTTCATGATAAGGGTGCTTACTCTTGTAGGGTTGAGAGAGGTCATTACCCCTATCTCTTACTTTTTCTCCCTTGTCCTCCATTAACGAGGATTTTGTGAATTATGTGAGGTTTATGGAAAAACTCCATAATCGATTTATGTGTTGTTGATTTCGATTGATGTGAAACATGATATGTGTTACTTTGATGTGAAATTGCATGATAAATTTCCGTGAGAGATTTGATGAAGATGATGATGTTAATATTGTTGTTGTATGGGTTGATGAAAGGCATGGTCAATTAATTCGGAGGACGACCATGGTGCAGCTTCTCAGAACTCAGAAGCTTGATTGTTATCTCCTTAGTTTTTTTTTAACATTTACCAAGATTTCATGTCTAGGAAAAGACAACAACATCTAAATATTTCTTTTGCCTTAAATTTTTGTTCCTTTGTTTCGCTTTGTATTCTTGGTATATATTCATTTTCTCTTTGTATTTGTCGCCATTATTCTGTATCAACCGTCCTTAAGTCTGCGTCATTGCGGCTCAAGGTATCATCTATTTTAGGTGTGATAAAACCTCATGATGTTGTTCTTTACAAGAGGCGCCTCGTTGGGTTTCTTGTTTCCTTGGCTTGACCTGACTAGCAAGTTATTATTGCCCAGGATTTGCCTTTTGTTCTTGCAATTTAAAGTTTGTTCGCCTCATATGCATTATCGTTGTTCGATGTATTCGTCGAACTCTGTAGTCTCAATTGAAGTTTCATCGTTACTAGCTTCAGTTAAGATGAGTTAATGTTATTATTTAGTGCCATTAGGAACAGTCCCGACCAATGGTAAGATTCATGTCCCTGCCCCTAGAGTTAACCTGGTTCGGGGTGGATGTTTCCTAAGAGAGGGATGTGCCAACTATGTTGATAAGAGTGCTCCCTAGGCGTGGAATCAAAAGAGTGGCTTATGTCATCCTACATGGAATTACAAGACTCTTTGTGGTATGAGTGTTTCACACTTAGCAGATTAATTACTGAAATCGTGCAAAAAAATTACATAGTACTTAACTCGTACAGGGAGTCATAAGGGTATGGTGTTCTCCTTCTTCTTCACTTATTCCCCGGTTGAAGCGATCTTCTTTTCATCTGTTCGGTAAAAGAGATTTTCTGCCTATCTTTAATTGATGAGCGATACAAAATAATCGATGTCTTTGCAGATGTCGCTCTTGGTAACCCTATGAAGATCAGTTGGCAGTGTGCTCATATGGAATGTATATGTTTACTCCTCATAGTCTAGCCAGATTTTGCTGACTTTAATAGTGTTGTTCAATGAAGATAAGGTTTCTTGTGGGCTTTTACATTATGTCATTTTTTTATCTATGTGAGACGAGCATGGTTTCCTTCTTTGCAATATTGTATCCTTGTGGATCAGGGAAGTCGGCATTAAGTTAGATAAGAATGTTGAACGAATGCATCTTAAATGATGTTTCAATTGAACGTTATTAGAAGTTCGGGGTGTTTTCCTCCCACGCCTTCTTCCCCACCAGAGTGCAATCTTCGTAGTTCTGTGAGAGCGAGCCATCGATTTATCGCAGGTTAAAGGATATCCACTAGCATGTGCATCTGACATCATTTTGTGGAGATCTAATAGTTTAATTTCACTAGATCGAGAGTTATCGCATGGAGTCTATTGCCTACGATGTGTTTTGTAAGCGTTTTCGTTATAGGTGGAGCTACCACAATCACTAATAGGTTTGTATTCGATATTCTTAGAACTTATTTATTTCTCGAACATCTTTGTGCACTTTAATATTCATTTCTTAACTCAGTTTAAAATCTCCAAATAGACGAGGTGTTCTAACGAGAGATTTCCACTAGTTCTGATAATGTAGTGGATCTCAAAGGTGATAATAAAATATGGTAGAGTAAACTCGAAGTACTTATCACTTAACGTTACAACGAAGTATTGTATGATTCGCGATAGTAGCTACTCCAACTGTTGGTAACTCTGTGTTTAGAGTTCAGTTTATTTCGTCGCAATCTAGGATTTGTGGTGTGATATGATATTCGTTTATCGTTTGGAGGTTCTTCACCACATGGAGAAGATACTCGGGTAGCAGACTTATGCTGGAAGTTGTTTCAGATTTGCCACACCTTCAAAGTTGTCACTGTAAGGATCGCGTTACTGAAGAATAATTGAGGCGATGCAAGATTGGAAGGTTGATTAGTGACCTTTTGCACGACCTTGGAGGTAACTACATCCATTCTTTGGTGACTCTAGTATATATTTAAGTTTGGATCTAAAATGATCCATTCGTGGAATTTTCGTGGGAATTAGGAGTCAATTTCCACAGACGACGTCACTGGAATTTTTTTCCCTTCTAAACAACTTCTCCATCAAAAAAACCAAAGTAACCAAGTCTCTATCAAAAATCTCAAAGTATCAAACTTTTAAAAAAAATGTTGTTAAAGTAATTGGCGCCTCGTTCTCTGTTTTAATAGGATGCGCCAATTGCATTGGCGACGCCATATTATTTTATTTTTATTCACATTTCATGCGGATTTGACATTTTTTTACATTTTTTTTTTTTTTTGCAAATTTGGTTGCGGATTTATTCACATTTTCTGCATATTTTGTAGCAAAATTCATAGAAAATTTTGTAAAAAATGTCAAATATCAAAGGAAATCTGTAAAAAATGTGAATAAAATTAAAATAATATGGTGTTGTCAATGCAATTGGTGCGTCCTATTGAAATACAGGAGGATGCGCCAATTGCTTTGACAACACATTTTTTTTGTTTGAAAGTTAGGTACTTTGAAATTTTTTGTTAAAAACCTAACTATTTTGGTATTTTTGATGAAAAAGTTGGTTAAAGAAGTAAACGATTTACGTCAATGTTCTGTTATGTTCCAGAACTAGAAGTAAGTAGATATTAATGATAAAAAAAAATTATGAATCGATGTTACTGATCTCTGATAAGCTGACACAATGATAGATCTGCAAGCTTAACACTAACGTTCAAATCACTTAAAAATTTAAGATGAATATGGTGACAAAATGAAAATTAAATTTTGCGTGAAATAACTTTTATGCATTGAATCATTTTGAAGTGAATTGACATTGATTTGGACTTTAATTTTTTGGGTCTTTGCCTTCCTAATGAGATCTCTTCTTTGTTTTGTCTCAAAAGTTATTTAAATTGTACACTCCCTCCATCATGTCTCAAAATTAATAATTTATTTCAATTTTCAATGCACTTTTTTTTCAATTATATCTTTTAATTAATATTATTTTTATTATTTGTAATCCGTGATAAAAAAAATATTATAGTCATTCATTCTTTTTTTTTAATGTATGAGAGATAGTCCATTGAATGCTATTATATTAGGTTACAATTTAGTTACCATTTTTCCAATATAACATTTCCCACAAGAATACAACTGAAACCGCAAAAATTAATCGAGCGAGGTGAACACGAGCAATATCCACTACCAAGTAAGAACAATAGCACTGCAATGTTGATAACAGCGAAACCCACTCAACTTCAACCATGGTTACAATTCCCACCATCAACTACACTCCCTAAACGAACAACCTTCAACACCACCAGAACCATCGTTCTCAACACCACCAGAACCATCGCTCTCAACACCACCATCGACGACACCAACAACACCACCATCGATGACACCAACAACACCGCATCTTCTTATCCACAGAAACCTAAAAGGAGGAACCCCAATCGAAAACTCTACCCCGGAGAAATCACCGGAATCACCGAAGAGATGAGGTTCGTCGCCATGCGACTTCGCAGCGACAAAACCAACACCACCGTTTCCACTTCGAAAACTACCTCTACAGAACAACACGATGAAGAACAGATTCCTGACACGTGGCAACCTTCCATGCTAGGGTTTACCCGATTCTTAGTCGATAATCAACACGTTTTCAGCACGCTTGAACGCATTATTGACCATTCCGATAACGATTCATGTAAGTCCAATTGTTAAATTACCGTCACATTCTAGTTAGTTATTAAGTGCTTGTTTGGCTATATGGTAGCCAAAATTGATTTTCCATAATTATTTTAGGTTAATCAGGTTGATTCTTGACGCATACAATTGATTTTGACATGTTTTGTTGCTATCGATTAAAATTGATTATACTTTTTAGAATTGATTCTAATTGAAGCTAGGATTTGTAGCTTTTGTGTCTCAACTTGACTTTTACACTAAAATTTACGCAACCATAAATCACTCACTCAATCAATTTTCTTCACCGCAAAACCAAACACGCCGCAGAAAACATACATGCACTAAGACCTGTTTGGATTGACTTATTTGAGTTTATCTATTGCTGTAACCACTTATGAGACCATTTGCATGAGCTTATAGAAAGAACTTACATGTCAACTTATTTTTATAACCTCTTGCTTTTTTTAGCTGAAACGTATATAGCTTATATAAAAACAAATTGACTTTATTTTATCTTTTATTATAGAAATAGTCTATATATATGCACTTATATTATAAACTATAATGCTATAAGAGCTTAATTAAACTGTTTATCCAAACAGGGCCTAAATCATTTGCTTATTTTTGACTTGATTTAGTTCTGTTAGTTATGATGGTGGTTTTTTGTGTGTTTGAATTGCAGATGCCTACATGAGAAAAACTGGATTGGAAAGATCAGAAGGGATTTTGAAGGATTTAGAATGGTTGAAGGAAGAAGGAGTTGAAATTCCCAATCCAAGTTCTCCTGGGATAACATATGCAAAATATTTGGAGGAGCTTGCGGAAAACACACCTCTTTTTCTCTCCCATTTCTACAATATCCATTTCTCTCATATAACTGCTGGCCAGGCTATTACAAAGCAGGTACCCACTTTTCCCTTTTCTTATAGAGAATCCAATCTATTTAGGTAGTGTTTTTATGGTTCTTTAGTCACAAAAGATTCGTTATTAGCTTATAGGTGTTTGTGGTAAAGTTAAACATTCGAAAAATTGAAATGAAGATGCTAATTTTAACTTTTACAAGAATTCGTCGTTTAACCAACAAGGTGTAGTCGAATAGCTAGTAGGTTGAGCCCTCTAACCACATGTCTATAGTTTGAATCCATGATGAGAGTAGAGTTTCATCTATTGGTAAAGGAGTTGTGTCTTAACTGGTACCCTACATCCTAGGGGATTAGAGTCATACAGTCACCGGCTGTGAGGATACCCCAGGTCCATTCCCGCATAGAAAAACAAGAATTTATTGTCTAAAAAACTCAGTTCTTTACTCACAAAGAACTCCTGATTATTAGCTAATGAAGCAACATTGAAAAAATTGGAATGGAAAAACTTACGTCAACTTATACGAGAGAAAATATTGTTTAAAAAACTGAAGTAATTACAAGATTCTCTTAACATTTCTGTTTTTTTAAGTGCTTCTTGAGAAACTTATCCAACTGGCTCTAATAATTAGAAGAGAAACCATTGTCACTGAAAAGAGATTTTTTTTTTCTTCAACCTTTAATGCTAAGGTATCAAATTTTCATTTGGAAGAACCGGAAACTAACAATATAAAGGAGGTAGTGATTTGTATCAGTTTAAGAGCATAGTGAGTGAATGCGTTAGTGATGAATGGATTAAGTTAGGTAATAATTTGATTTGATTGTATTTTTGGACCAAAGTGAAAGGAATTCCTTATTTAAAGAATGTAATTACTGTTAAACCATAAAGAACTTTTATAAGCATATCATTCTATTGTTATTGCTTGTAGGTTTCGGAAAAGCTCCTGGAAGGTAAGGAGCTGGAGTTCTACAACTGGGAAGGAGATGTACAGGAAATGCTGAAAGATGTACGAGAGAAGCTTAACGTGCTTGCAAAGGTTGAATACTATGAATCCTTTATTTGTGGCTTTATAGTAGTATAATATTTAGCTGCTGCATTAAACTTTCTATTTATGTATACTTGTATTTTATGCAGCATTGGTCTCGGAATGAAAAAAATAAATGTTTAAGAGAAACAAAAAAGTCATTCCAGTTTATGGGAGAGATTGTTCGTTTAATCGTCTTATGAAGATGCTGGTTAATTCTCAGTTTTTGTTCATAGAACTGACTTTTTTTTATGGTAATACTTCTAAAAATATTCTTCCTTTAACTTTTTATGGTAAGTTTTTCTGTAAATGCATTTTGATTTCTTTTGTTTTGGTCCAGCATTTCGTTGCAATTGCAATTATAAGTTGTGTGGCGGTTCAATTGGACTATTAGTTCAGCCTGAAAAGTGGTCAAGGGTCGAGGCGTTAACTGTAGCTTGGCAACCATGTTTGATGTTGCTGCATCTCATTTTTTCTGGCAATTTCAATGTTTTCCTCAAAGCTTCCAGGACCTGGTTACATATGTTATTGATTTTCCGATCCTTACTGATATAGATTTTAATGGTTAAGCCAGGGTATAGGGTAATTTTTTTCATTAGAGATGTAGCTTAGCTGGAACTACTTTGAACTTATGAGTTAAAATAATTATCACCAATTCACTAGGATGTTTCAGTATAGCTGAAAATTTGTTTCTTATTGTTGCCATTATTTCTTACCTGCACTCTTTTGTAGCTGTTTATGCTTTTGAGATCACTACTTGAATTATTTGTAATTTGAATGTTCTTGAATAATTTTTCAGGCATTTTTTACTCCCTAGTTAGTTTGGGAGACCACCTTATATGTGTCCGATATTAGACAACACTCATTTCGGTTCTTTTTATAAGAGACATTTCACCTTTTTAGATACATTAATTATTTAATGAATCTAAAAATGTGAAGAGTTTTTTATAAAAAGGACAGGAGTATATGGTTAGATTGGGAGACCACCTTATATGCGTTTAGATTCTGATATTAGATAATATATAGGCCGAACATGTAGCGGATAATTCTCACTCTACAAGCCGATTTTGTAGGAATGAGTTAGATAAACTTTAATTATATCATAGTATCATAGTCTATTGAAGATATGATAGGCTATCTACTATCAGATTTCTGGCATCCGCAACCTGTCATTCACCTTTTATTTTCACGCTTACGACTTTCGATTCCTTTATCTTTCCAAATTGAATTGCCTTGGTCTTATTCAAATAAAACTACATTCCTCCTTTAAAAGATAAAATAGATAAAATGGACTAAAATTTAGTCTATATTAGAATGTAAAATGGACTAAAATTTCATCCCAATTTTAAAATTTCTATTCTCATTCTGTCACAGAGTTACGACTAATGCTTAACTAATAAAAATCTGAAATAAGCGACAGTGCGTGCCTTACACTACTTTCTTCTTTCCATATCGTTTACTTTTCAGTTGTTTTCTTCATCCACAAAATATTAAGCATATTTGAAGGATACTCTTTGTTGTTTATCTTTTCTGTTTGCACCAAACATGGTTGAAGTTGAAGCACTATTTGTCCTCAACAAGGTAACAACACTATTATTATGTTTTTCTGTTTTTCTGTTTTGTCTTCATATGTCACCACATACTCGCATTGTTATGTTTTTCTGTTTTGTCTTCATATGTCACCACATACTCGCATTGTTATGTTTTTCTGTTTTGTCTTCATATGTCACACATACTCGCATGGTAATTAATTAACCATTCAATTTTGATTAGGACTATGAGGATAGTAACAACTCTATTAAGAAATCTCCATTAACATTGAAGTTGGTAGTTTGTCTTAGCTTCTGTTTATGCAATATACATTTGTTCAATTAATCTGAAGCAATCAATGGTTCTCATTCGTGTATCCGCTAAATTGTTGGAATTAAGAGTCACTGATCAGTCATGTCAACCTTCTCCTCTCGAAGAATTGGAACTCCCTTAGCATTATCCACACCCCAAAACTTACAACAGGTAAAGATAATTTCCAACCATTTAGTATTCCACCTATTAATAACAAGAACTTTAAAACAAATTTAATGTAACATTCTTGATTTGTTTACACGCGTGTATGGATATTATATTTTTAAAAGGTGAGATTATAACTACCGAGGAGTTATTGTTCCGAGTCGGACAAAGATAAAGTAAAACAAACTCAATAATGGAGATTTAATCCTAAACATCACCAGAAAAGACCAACAAACAAGTGAAACAATGTTAGAGAGCTAGAAATCTAATTTGAGTATTCGATGCATCAACTACTATCAGATTTAATTAGCCAGTTTCTCGCAAAACACGGCTAATCAATTGGGGATATTTTTAATTGTTTATCATATATATATGTTTTGATGTACCATAATAGGTATATTATCATTTTACTCCACTAATCCCTCAACTTAAGTGTTGGAGTTGTAATCTTACAAGGCCACCCGACTACATTGCACCGAGATTCTTGCCACCATACCTAGAAAGACACTTTATCTCTTCAACTAACAAATCTCTCGTTATGTGACTAGAACAATTGCGTCGTAGTTTGTGAGAAACAAATTTTGATTCCTGCAAATTTCTACGGAAATTCATTGTCTCTTAACCGCTGCATCAAACTAATCTTTCTTCTGTTCCAATCTTCGATCAACTGTGTACCAACTATTGTAGCATCTAAGTTTGCTCGGATCACCGCTTAGCATAACGTCGGCGTTCCTTCAAAAACCTATATGGCAACGACTTGAAAGGGTGAAATAGTAGCTCTGGATACTCTTTTCATTTGGAGCATCATCTTATAACAGCCTATCTTGTCTTCGAAATAGAAGGGACATATAAAATAATGAAAATACCTGATTTAGGTGAAGGAAAAAAAAGGAAAAAGAAGTTTTCCACTCCCTTACTAGAGATATTATGCCTTTTTTCTTTGGTGGTAGCCTTCATCAAGAGGCGAGTTTCTATGTATCGTATCTTCTACTTCTTTAACATAACAATATAGAGCCCGACGCAGTTAGCAATGCCCAAATATTCACAAAAGGTATTCTTCAAATAGGTCTCATCTTAAGACAGGTCATCAAGAATGTAAACATAAGTTCCTTATTCTATGAGGAAATTATTTTGACTCTAGAATTTGGAAATTTGTTAGAACATCTTAGAAATGTAATGGGTTAAGCATCACAGATACTTGCATGAGCAAACCCAATGAATGGACTTGACCAGGTGATATCGGTCCTTGAAATCCTTCATACTATCAATATACACCTTGAATATCTTTCTACCTTGCATGAGTGAAAGTAATCCTTGACCCCGTTCTGAGTCAGTCAAGCTACGCTAAATATTAAAAAGATGGAAGAAAAAAAAAGCGTCAAAGTTGATACACTCCTCTTATATCCACACCAATATTGAAAGATTTTTACATAGGCCCAACTCACCGAGTACAGTTGCGAAAAAGCAACCCCAAGTGGTTAAGAACTCTCACTTTGAAATTGTTGAAAGGAAGTGAAAAGCTTATCCAAAAGTATAAATATTTATGAAGAAGAACACATCTGACATATAAGTTGCACTATTTTTTGTTCTCCTTCGAGGAGAACACCCATCAGTCCAAGGAAGAATTCGCTGTGGCCAAAACATGGTCTAGACTTCCTTTATTGGAAAAAATATAAATAGTATCCAACATTTCTTGATTCACTCATCACATTAAGTCTTCGTATATAAAGTCCCATGCAATTGGACGATTACTTTGGTCCATCTCAATTTTGTTGCCAACACATTAAAAAGAACGAATGTAAATATGAGCATGACACTAAGATCTAGCCACCACATCACTTCAATCTCAGTAAAGTCATAACCAATAGCATGGTGGAGTGCCTTGATATAAGTTTGAGATTTTCGTTCTTACTTGAAGCCACCTACACCGACTGGATTCACAGAGATAAAGTTGGAAAGAAAAACCCCTCGCAACTTCCCTGATATCAAAACCAACAGCCATCGTTTCATCTTTGACAGCAATATTTTATTTCAAGCCCTTCATTCCAATCTCTATAGGAACCCTATCAGACAATAAACATATATAATAAAAAGGAGGCAAAATTGTTACCTTTAAGAGAAGTAACTCCCATAATGTGTGAGAGCCAAATCGCTCGAGCACCACGAAAGATGTCGGAACAAAAGAATAAGATCAAGAAAAAGAAAAATAAATTCGGCACAAAACATGTAATAAAATATGGAGTTATAAGAAGAAGAAAGTGATACGAGGATCTCTAAGTCTCATAGACAATGAAAAAGAAAAGAAGACCATATTCACCATTTGACTTTCATAGCCGACCACACAATCAAGGATTAAATATTTGAAAAAGCGTATCATGATCGAACGGCTCCCTGCGACACACAACGGATCAAGCACCATCAAATATGATCGGACTGCTCCCCGCGACACACAACAGATCAAGCAGGGGCGGTTTTAATTGTTAACCATATATAAACTCTACCGCCCGCCATAATAGGTATTCATTCTCACGCAAATTGCTCTACTATTACTTCACTCACTTGGATATTGGGTTGTAGCATTTTTAAAGGTAAGAATTTGAAGTAAAGTTCACTATGGATATTGAGTTGATGAATGGGCAGCAAAGAATGTGGTTGCAATCGCGTTCAGTATTCTAGAGTTGATGAACCATCATGAGTTAGTGGAATACTTCCAAAGAAAAGTTTCTGTAATATTCCTTTTAAGAAGGAATTTCCTCTTTAGAGTAATATCATTTTTAGCATATGAAACCAATAAAAAAAACATAAGCACTGGAATCCTTTGAGCAAATATGTGTTCTGGAATCAACATCATTTCCTCTATTGAAGAATACAATCTATTGAAGAATACAATCTATTGAAGAATACAATTTCTGGAATTCTTTGAGCAAATCAAGAGATTAAGGCATTAAGCCTAACAAGTAAACTAAAAATACAATTGAATCTAGTTTCAAACAACAAAACCTCTATCGATTTGAAGCTTTTAATGTCGGGACGAGATCAATCTAACTTCTAGCATGTGTAATTATACTACTAAGTGTTACAAGAACTTTTTACAAAATTACAATCTATAATGAATACAATTTTACTAAAAATTAGAGAAAGGAAGAGTGAAGAAGGCTCACTTGTAAAAAGATAGTAGAGAGTAACAGAGATGTGGAAAGTGTTGTTCTACTTTTCATTTCTTCAAATCTCTTCCTAAATAATGTTACAAATGGGACAAGTAAATCAATAAATCATTGATCTACTGGCCCTTTAGAATCACTACCACCACATTCATTTTTATCTTCAGTTCGTTCAATAATGAAATGATCAACAATTTTGACTGTATGTACTGGATCCTGGTGGGAAACGACTGCCCTCCATTTGCTCGGAAAGCTTCTCAAATGGCTCGAAATTTGTGGATTTTTTGTCTCTCCATCCCAATCAGAATCAAGCTTCCACTCCTTAGGAACCTGCAAATGGAACAAAAAAACAGTTTAATAAACTTGCGTCTGAGATTAAAACTTCAGTGAAAAATAGCTTCATACCTTATCAACTGCGAGAGTAAAAACTTCAAGATTACCATCAGAACTGATGTGAAATCGTGTGAATGATTTGTAATTAGCTATTCTGAGAGAGGAGAAGGCTTCGTCAAAGTGTAAGTGAAGCCAGTTAATGCAAATATATAAGTAGCTTCCAAACACTAAAGAAACAACCGGAGTCGAGAAAACCCAAAAGTAAAGGAAGACGGAAGCGTAATAGATTACGGCACCCCCTCGAGAAATAGAGTCTAATCCATTTTTGCAAATATTGTTCCGAGAGACTGCCATGACCTGAGAAAATAATCTTATTGATATTATCCATTTTAGGAACAATCAGAACTGTAAAAGTTTAAAGATTTTTCATACCTCTGGCACATCAAAAGCGGACATTAAATACTTGATACATGCTGGATAAAAACCAAATGTCCATTGTTCAATACGAGCTCTGAGGCCAGTTGGATCCGGAAAATGTTCACTTTCCACCGATTGATACCACTGATATAACGAGTGATAACCTGAATCATACAAACACACAATCATCATGATGATCCATATTGGTTACAAGACAACAAACAACACTACTTTACAAAGTATCAAACTACAGGATGACCATAGATTAGCAAGCAGTGACACTGAAGATGGCACCGACACTTGAAGTAATTTGAGAATATAGACTAACTGAATGTAACCACATGTATCGGTGTCAGACACCAGACACGTCTTCAATATGAAGTGCCAAAACTATATATAATTTATCAATTTAGGCTGTACACAGTATAACAAAATTGTAGCAATACAGTTATACAAGTTATTCAACAGGAACAAAAACAAAACCTGAATTTGCCAGCAACTTATGCCGGATGCATATTTCAATGCCTATTTCAAGAAGTAACATAAGAATCAGAGCTGCAGCAAGATGAGCAGAAACATGAAGAACTCCAATCATTGCTCGTTTCTTCCGTGACAACTTTGGTGGAACAAAAGAGTATGCGGAAATTAGTAATACTAAAGCTCCCACAAATGACACGCGAGAGTGTTGAAGGATATATATAAATCCGTTCCACACAGTACCAAAGAAACTGCTTAATTGACTTGAAAATGTATCATCTTGGAGAATGTGATTCAACTCACACTACAAATTAAGAAAAAGAAGACAGTTGGGTATTAGTGAGAAAGGAAACTCTGCTTATCTGTGCTTACTTTGACCCAAAAGGAAACCACTGGCTAAATTAGCCTCGAGAACATACAACTAATAAAATAAGACTCAATAATACCAAAGAAATGGAGGAACTCACTTGCGGAAACATTGAAAATACTAGGACAAAATATATGATGCCGCCAATAAAATCAAATTGCCAGTTCTTCTTCCGAAATTTAAGGATATTTCCTAATGCAATCTGCGTTAAATTAAAAATAATGTTATAATCCCGTAAGTAGTAACGTGTATAAAAACCAAACATTTGGTGCTTACAATTAAGGGACTAGAGTAAGAAACTGTTTATATTCTACATACCCTGCTTGAATCTTCAAAGGAAGGATATGCAGCTTTGCATTCATAGGAAACTCCGTCAAATTTACTAAATTTACTGAAAACATGGGTAGGATGTAAAAAAGCTCCACCACAACCATTTACAAGAAGATGGTGGACGTGAACAGGTCCATCTGACTTTACATGTGAATGACGCATGTAGTGATGCAAGTCCCCAGCCATCCGAAGCTTACATCTTCCTTTCAAATAATCACGAACCAGATGTGAAATATTCTTCCCAGTAACATCGCTCCAATACCAGTCAGAAAGCCAATTAGGCTCATGAGTTACAATGATCACATTGTCATTCTCTTGAACCTACGATGAAAATGGGTCATGAAGACAGGTATGCTCAATCAGTGTACATGTCAAAAAATGAGGCATGGAGATAGAACGAGAAATTACAAGAATTGGAAAATTACAACAAAGTCTTATCTCACTAAGTAGGGTCAGCTATATGGATCAAACTACTTCATAATGTTCTATCAGAAACCATGTTTCTATCCAACTCGTAAAACTTGAGGTCTTTATTAATAGTTTCTCTTATAGTTTTTCTAGGTCTTTCTCTACCTCTAATTTTGTTTGACTACCCCCTTCATCTGATCTACTCTCTTTACTACAAAATCCACAATCTTTTCCACCATGCCCAAATCACCTAAGCCTATTTTCCACCATTTTTTCTATTATGGGTGCTACCCCAACACTCTCTCTAATGTTGTCATTTCTCACCTTAACTCGTCTAGTCTTACCACACACCCAACGCAACACCGTCATCTCCACACCTCCAACACAACACCCTCATCTCTGCCACACTTATTTTACTTTCTCGTTGGTTCTTTACCACCCAATATTCCTTCCCATACAACATTGTCAGTCTTAACACTATTGATTTCATAAAACGACAAATAAAATGAGATTTTTTCCCGAATGACTTAAATTGTGGAACAAAGAGTATAATCCAATGTTCAGGGGAAACTTACAATAATAGGAATGAAGTAGCCTCCACAAAATTAATCATATTGTGGTATATTTTTTTGGCTCATTGACTGGCACCGCATTGCTGGGGTGGGTCTAGGAGGCTTAGGCTGAGGGACAAATAGCATTCAATCTTCAGAGTTTATGGTAATTTGAGTATTACTTAATAAATTTCCCCATAATTTCGGTGTGAATACCAAGATAAAGCAATACATCAATTTTTCGTTTCATATTAAACCAATGGCAATGGCAAAAGAAAGTGTAAATATAAAAAAAGATTATAAATATGTTTTAAGTTAAGTAAAATCACTTTAGACACTAGAGACTTGAAAACGCAAACATTAAATTATACGTCATGTAAATATAAAGAGAGAATAAACAGACATTATTTTACCTTTTCCGTTATCAGCTCAGTAAAGAATTTGAATTGGTACACATCAATATCATCATGAAGAGCAAGATCAAGCCCAAAAACCCACCACCGCTTAGGGAGTTGCAAAGCAAAGTAACTCTTTTTCTGTGGCATGAGCCATCCACCTAACCAACTCCTATGACAGATATACCTCATAAAAGTCTGAAGTCCATCAAACCAGTCTGTGAAGCAAGCAATAATAACGATGAATACATATTTATGTTACGCATAGAAACAATTTTTTATATGTTTTTAAAATGAGATCAGGTAAAATAACCAAAACAAACATAACAATTAATGAAAAATAAATGAAGCAACTAAATAGATACAAACAAAGAAAACTGTGAAAATATAATAAACTTGTTGAAAAGTAACATAGTTTGGTGAGGCTCAATCCAAGCTAAAACTAACCATGGTTTCCAGGAATAACGAAGCACTGAGGTCCATCATACTGTCTCAGTTGATCACCAAAGGGCTTATTCACGGCTATCTGCTCAGCATTATATGAAGGGGGAGGTTGGAGTGCATACTCAAAGGGAACAAACAGACGCCTTTCATATGTAAATGTTGATGGATTCGGATACCTACATCATTATAAACAAGCCCTTGAATAAAACAAAAATAGCAACAGCACCCAAAAAGCAAATAATAGAAAGAAAACGAAACAATCTTCAAATGGCAATACAAAGATCTTTTTGGTTGGTTATAAAAGCAGTTTGGATGTCTCCCATCATGCTATCAAAAAAATATATTATCAAAACTACAAAGACTTTTAAAGAGACGCCAAGGTCCATAATTATAAATGATTGAGTTGAAATTCACAAATCTGGTCACTATATGATATTCAATAAAAATATCTTCTCTTCTATATATCTCATATATTCCGGAAACAAAATGTTAGATACACACAACTTCTTAAACACTCACCCAATTTTCTAAACTCTATAGAAAATGCAACTACCGCTAGAAAATAATACTCTTTTCTAAAACATATACATAATTATTGACTAGAACATATTTCCTTTACCTCTCCACCTGATCTACTTTCTAATAGGGCTTCCATACCCCTTTATAAAAATGTATAAAACTAAAGACAGAAAACTCAGAATTTTGTTATTCATGATTTGATATTAGACCTAGCTATTCAAAATTCAGTATCAAGAATCACAGGCATTAAATGGTCAACTAATCACTCAAGAGAATCTTTCAATTAACATATAATAATTGATCCAAAAAAATTACAGTAGCCATAGTAAATAAGCAACATACGCAAGGTCACCCCCGATAAGTAGCAGGTTACCACGTGGTAGGGTAACCTGAGCATCATCTTTCATTGTACGAATTGAAGGCTTTGCAAGTAGCCGTGCAACAGAATAAGATGAGTTCCCACCATCACCGGTATCAGCCATAAAGTCAAACCAAAAATCTTCCTTATCACTAAAATGATCATAAAAAAGGTCGCGATGCTGCTTTCCATCTTCAGCCCTAATCATTGCTGCCTGGCAATGAAAATAAGATTCAGTATCCATCGCATACAAGTACGTGACATTCTTGCAACAAGCAAGATTCCTTATATCAGAAAATACTTTTTCCTGGACTATAAAGACTGATTTTTAAAAAATGTCATGCAAGACCCATTAAAGATTTAATACTGAACTTAAAATTACACCTACAGTCAACATATAGTTTTATTTTGGCATGTTCAGTATAAATATAAAAATTGCAAGAAAAAACTTTAATATAAATTTGACAACTAGAAATCACATTGTAAACTGAATTTTAAACGCACAAAAATTTGTCTGTGACAAAGTCTTGTATGATTCATATGCTTTCAAATCCATATTTCTAGCAACTTGTGTTATTCTTATAGAAGAAAATATCAGATACAAGATCAATGGCAACAATACAGGAAAAAATCCTTTCAACATTATCCTACACCACATTTAGAGTAACTATAAACCCCTTGAAGGTAAGCAAGCACTTACTGTCATGTCACACTATGCAATTTAATAGTACATAAAATATAATACGGTAATCTAAGCAATTCAGGCTATAAGTTAAATGGCATATTGACAATATTATGAACTATTGCAAGGAAATATAAAAACCTTACCTGCATCATTCGCATGTCAAAACGGCCAACGAACACCGTCACAGATACTAGAAGATCAAAAACAGTTTTGAATAAATCAGCAGATGTTCTGCATAATTTATCAAGTATAACCATACAATCATGATCATCTCCAACACCTAAAAATATAAGAAAGAAAGTGATATGGAAGGAAAAAATTATACACATAGTCACATACCCAGAGTACCAAGGAACCATATCCAAAAAGTCAGGCTTCATCTGCTTCTTCTTCAACTTCTCAAATTCTTTAACAGAAAGAGGGTGAGCGAGAGCCCAACTGTTGATTTTTAAGACATTAAAATCAACATATTATTATTAAGATAATGAGAAAAAAATATTGATAAAATTATTATATTAGTGAATTATGAAAATGTGATTTCCTATGGTAATCATTTCCCTCAGTGTTCTATTGTTCCTAGGGCTCGTGGCACTGTTGGGCGTTGCTTTTTGTGGGGAACTATGGCCAGAAAAACAGTATGGCAAAAACATAACAACTATAACAAGAACGCAAGCTCAAATTAAAAACATCCCAATAAATTCAAGCGCAGAATTTCATATATGTTCAACAGCAGTCTGCCAGACCAAGAACAAAAACCGGCATATTCTAAAGTTTTCACGTGGCTGACTGACTTCTACCAGAATTAAATATCAGAAGGATTTTACAATACAACTTCAATACTTTGGACCACGTAAAACATAAAATCATACTAACATGCAAAAATATAGCAACGCTTAGCACATAAAAAATCAACTTAAAAGAATTACTCACCCTGTTGACCTTTCAACCACATAGTTTGCAATGTAGAGCCCAATAAACGTAGCCCAAAGTGAGTAGATGGGGGAAATCTCATCTGATGAACCAGGACATGAACCATTGCAGGCTATCTAAAATATTAAAAGAATTCTTGCATCACAACAAGTAAAGGACCACTATAGACAAAGATATGCGGCTTAATACACAAGAGTGTATAAATTATAAGCTTATAGTAAGTACCTCTCCATAAATAACCCACTTTGACAAAAGAGGATAATCACTTGCATATCCAACTGGAGCAAACCAAGATGAGCAAACCTGGTCCTTCAACTCATTCATCTGAAGAAACTTTGCAAGCCATGTGTTTCTCTCTTCTTTCTTCCAAAAAGGAAGCCAGGTTGAACTTTTTTGAGGGTCAAGCGGTTTTTCTCTTAACATGGCACGGTTTCCACAATGACTATAAAATACACAGCATGCTACACTAAGTACCTATTATTTATATAAAGAAAAGTCATCAGAATGATATTAAGTCTTCTAACAAACAAAAAATAATCTCCCAAACTTACAGCGCAATTTTGAAGAATGGCCAAGATCTCTGGTCTCTTTCCAGCCACACGTGAAACCAAGCCAATATACCAGAGACCATAAAAAAGAATGTGGAAAACAATAAGAAACACAATGGATGAAATATATATTGTCAAAAACAAAGATAGATTCATCCTCATATCCACCCCCATTGACTGAAAACTAGGAAGATGGTACACTGCAGCCACTAAAATCCAGGCTATGTACCTGCGATGCGGATGCCATATCATTTCTAATCTCGTAGAATCTTTTTCATAAACATCATTCATAGTAACATTTATACACATTTGTTAAATAAACTTACCATCGACTGAAATTTGAATAACTCGGCTTGATAGTCTTGCCTACAAATGGCGATGAAAAGAAATAAAAGAACCCAAACAAGCAGCCATACATAGACCACCATTTAACATTGTTGTCTAATTTTTCTACTAGAGTATGTATATTGTCGGATGAGATGAAAAAAAGGCAACCCACTGCAACAGCAATTACAGCGTGGCGAGAATGCTCGTGAGGGTAAGGATAAGTGTGGGTAAATATAGTTCTAACCCTCTCCATTTTGAGTGTATCAAGAAGACCTGCAGGCTGCTTATCAGAGCCCATTTCCAATCTTTCAAAGAATCAAAACTCTTGTAATGAATCCTATTTTAGTAATTCCAGAATACCATATAGAACAGCGACAGAAGAATCCTGCAGAAGATGAAAATAATAATAATCTCAGGAATTCTGACAAAAGGTAGTAGAAATTTGATCTTTAGTCAAGTAACAAGAACTATAACAATAACTATTCAAACTATGAATCACGGACACCCCGAACACAATACCGACACTTCCACGGTGACACCAATAATAATTTGAGAAAAAGAATAAATTAAACATAATCCGTAAGTGTTGGTATCTGACACGGACACTCTTTTTTTCAGAATCCTTTGTCAGTTCAACAGAAATTCAACCGCAAATTGTCCTTTTCATATTCTATACATAATCAAATCCTCCTCCAATGATTGAATTTCCAAATAATTGAATTCAAATAAACTTCCATATGTAGACATTTTCACATCAAGTTTATGGTCATCATTAAAAGATGTCAACATCATCACGGTACAACATCACAACAAAGGCAAAATAATGATCATGATGAAAAGAACAAAGTTGGAAAAAAAAATATAACTAAGAAAAGAAAAAAAAAAAGCAACAAATTAAGGTACAATTATATAGCAGTTAACGGAAGTTTAAAAGCAATAAAATTAGGGAAACAGAACAAAAGCCCTAATTCTAATTCCTCTTATATAATTATCACCTTACAATGTTGAAGCTATGCAAAAAAGCAACAAGAAATTGAAAATAAATAAATAAATCTTTGAAACTAAAAAAACAAAACATGAAGCAAAAGTAACCGTAAATATATATATAGGAAGAAAAAAAACAAGAAGAAAGACGAAAGAAAAGAAGATGTTGGAAATGTAAAAAGAAAAAGGAAACCTTACGTTGTTGTGTTGTGTTAGATTGTATCGAAAGAAAAGAGAAGAGGGTGCGATGACGATTATGAAATTGATTGAAAGAGAAAAGTTATGAAGTGAATGTTTATTGACAAGAGTATTTTTGCGTTGGAATCTGAGAATATCTGTGAGGAACATAACATAATAACAATGGCATATTCTTTTCTATTTTATCAATTTCCAAAACCCAGTTTCCTTTTCTTTTTCTTTTCTTTTTCTTTTCTTTTTTGTTATTTTTTTTAGTTCGATTTTATTTGTAAATATAGTAATTGGACGGTGTGACTTTAGAATTAATTCAAAATATACAAATTCAATTTTAACATTGAAAAATATGAATTCAAAAATGAATTCAAGATATTCAAGTTAAAAGTATAAAATGACAAAATGATTCAATATTATAAAATGAAAGTGAGAGTGTCGTATTGTTAAATCTTAAATTTATTTATGTTTATAAATTGGATTTTTTTTATGATACATTTGTTTATTTTTATGAATGTGTGTTTAACCAAATTTTAATTAAAAAATAGTTAAATGTATTCTAAGGTGCTTTAGGCATTTTCTATAATAAACTTATTTATTTTTTAGAAAGAGTGTGTTAGTAATTAATAATTAAAAATTTATTAAATATACTCAAAGGTGCATGTTGCTAAAACACACTAGTATATCCTAGCAAAACTATATATATATATATATATATATATATATATATATATATATATATATATATATATATATATATATATATATATATATATATATATATATATATATATATATATATATATATATATATATATATATATATATATATATATATATATATATATATATTAGATGGAGTTTGCTAACGTAAACCAATTTTTTTATGAAGGTCTATTTTAACAAAATTTTAATTTAAAAAATTCTTAAATACACCTTAGGATGCATGTTACTAAAATACACTTTCATAACAAATGGATTTGCTATAAAACACCCACTTGTTTTTATGCATCCGTATTTTAGCATACTTTAACTAAAAATGGTTAAATGGATCTTAAGGAGTATGTTGCTAAAATAAACCTTCATAAAAACAAGTGGGTCTACATTAGCATATTGGATGAAAGGTTTTCACAAAATACCATTTTTATTTTGATTAATAATTTTTTTTAATGATTATTCTACTAATTAGAATTTTTTATATTTATTTATTTATTATCGCACTAATTAGAATTTTTTAATATTCTTTTTATTTATTTCTCTAGAAGGTGTATGACACTATGGATTCAAAGGCCCTTGAGACTATTCTAAAGGAGATAGGTTCCCTTAGGAGATTCATTGGTTAGGTCATGTTGCCAGTCACAATAAACATATAGATTCAGAATCAATGGTGTTCACTCAAAGAAACTAGATGCTAGAAGAGGGTTGAGACAAGGGGATCTAATATCCCTTTTATTGTTTGAAATCATAATGGAGTACTTGCAAACACAGTTCAACAAACTTAAGTGGGTTTCTGATTTTAACTTCCACTCCAAATGTGAGAAACTTAAAATCATTAACCTCAGTTTTGTATATGAATTACTTTTATTCTCTAGAGGCAACACCAAATTTGTGGAGCTGATGATGAAGAAATTCCATGAGGTCTCTAAGGCCACTGGGTTGGTAGTGAACCTTCCGTATTGCAAAGCTTATTATGGTGGAGTTGATGATCAAATCAATAATGAAATACAACATCTCACCTCCTATGCTGAAGGTAAACTTCTTTTCAGGTATCTAAGCATCCCTCTTACTACTAAGAAACTGTTTAATCATCACTGTTTTGAGCTTGTTGAAAAACTGGTTAAAAAGACCATGCACTGGAGCAATGCTCTTTTGAGCTATGCAAGTCGTACTCAGCTTATCTGGAGTTCATGTTTGTTATTACCAATTATTAGCTCCAATGTATTCCTTTGCTGAAGATGGTCATTAAAAAGGTTGAAGTAGTGTGTCGATCTTTCCTCTGGATATGTAAAGTTGAGATATCTCGTAAATCCCTTATGGTCTGGAAAAATGTTTGTGAACCAAAGAGTTTTAGAGGCCTAAACCTCATATCCTTCACATATTGGAATAAAGCCAGTCTTTCCAAGTTGCTTTGGGACATCAAGGGCAAAGCTAACACATTATGAATCAGATGGATCCAGACATATTACTTCAAGAATCATATTGTACATATTGTGTTTGTTCCTGATAGGTGGTCTTGGATTATAGGGATGTGCTAAACCTTAGAATGAGGTGTACAACATGCAGGCATGGACTAATTTCCAACAAAACAATAAATTTAACACCAAGAGAATATACGAGGCTCTCAAGGGTGATCGAAACAAGGTGACATGGAGGAAATTATTCTACAATAGTTTGGCTCGACCTATGACCTTGTTCGTGATGTGGTTGGCTTGCCATGAGAGGTTGGCAACCAAAGACGGACTTTTGAAACTTAGCATGATTAATGAAGACAATTGTGTATTATGTAATCAGAATGAGAGTTAGGAACATTTTCTTTTCATCTGTTATAGCATTCAGCCTATCTAAAAAAATGTTATTGACTGGATTCAAATCAACCACACTCATAAGGGTTGAAAAAATGAAGTAACTTGGGTGTTGACTGCTAACAGAGACAAAAACGGAAAAGCTAGGCTCCTAAAAACAGCCTTTGCGAAATCTATATACAAGTGTTGGAGATACAAGAATGAAAAGGTTTATGGGGAAAATACTATGCATACAAGTATTGAAAACAAATTCATAAATAATATTACTTACAAAGGTTGGACTAGACCTAATGTACATTAAAAAAAACGGACAGACGTGAGCGTCCGTCTAGACGCTAGTAAATAACAAAATAAAAAATAAAAAATTAATAGAACAAATAATAAGATTAACTAATAAATAAATATAAAAAATTAAAAATTAAAAATATATCTTTAATTTTAACGCTAAAGTTGTTAGTGATTTAACAACTATTTATATAAGATAAGTATCAAAGAAATAATATTTTAAAAATTCTAACTAGTGAGATAAAAATAATAAATATAACAAATGTTAATTTGCAGAATAATTATCAAAAATAATTTTATTAATTAAAATAAAATGGTAGTTGGTGGAAGAATAATAATATTAGTGGGACAAATAAGAATATTAATTAATAAATATATATAAAAATTACAAATTACAAAATTATCTTCAAGTTTAACAACTTTTATATAAGATTTAATATTAGATTTTTTTTTAATTAATTAATTTAAAACATTGAATATTTAGTGAGATTTTTGAATGAGAAAATTTCTCTCTAATCAAATATATTCAAAATTATTGTCACACATAACTATTTTAATTACCATAAACTCATCTTAAATTTAATATATATATATATATAAAATTAAAAAAAAAAAATTAAATATATATTTAATTAAAATGATTATCTTGCATTCTCTAGTTTATCTTTCCTCCATTAAAATCTCTTCTCTTTTATCCTTTAAACACTTAAAAAAAACTTATATTCTATGAATATATTTCAAAGTAAACCTTTTATATTATTTTCGAATGTGATATGTTAACTCAGCGTAAATCACGGTAATTGTATCAATATAAAAAGTAAAACAAAAATCAATTACATCTATAAAAAAGTAATTTTGATAATTTTTTAAAATAAATTATACACATCAATTTCACAACCAAATGCTTTCGTTAATGGGTAAAATGTGGTATGAGAATTAATTTATGTAGTAGTTTATATCCACACGTTACTCCTTATAAATGAATTAGTTAATGTATATCTCTTTATATTTTCCAAAGCGCACACAGACATATTATTTTGCTTTCCAAAAAAATCTACTACAGTTTCGGCGACTTCCTTCCGCGTCTTTTCTTTCCGTCCAAGTTCCTCACAACTTGCGCTATTTCCATCGCCGTTTTCTTTTCGTCAAAGTTTCCATCACCGTTTTTTTATTGCCAAAGTTTACATCATCGTTGACCCCTCCAACATCCAACTCCAAGTCGGTTAGAGCATTTATTTAGCCCAATTGTGGAATCAAGGTCCAAGACATATGGACTAAAAGATATATATTTAACATGTATTTTTATTGTTTTGTGCACATATATTTAAAAACAGAAAATAAAGTGCAAAATATGAGACAATTTCACAATATATACTTATAAAAATTGTTTTCAATTTAAGTGGGCTTCAAATTCTTTTTAAATTAACTTAACATTTTCCACGTCAATGCAAATAATTGAAAAGCAACGAAGAATGACGAATCTAAAAGAGAACGCAAGAGATTACATGGTTAAGTTTGGGCGGAGTCGGAAGTCTAAAGCAGACGTTAGCTAAAAGGTGATCCTCGAGAAATGGGTCTAGTTTGGATAGTTCACAAATATCAAACTTGGTCATTTCAATTCGCGGATCCGTTTGTTAATGAATCATATTTTAGATTTGTTATGAATTTGTTGGATTTCAACTATTATAAATATGAAAGTCTATCACTTTTACGGTTAAGACTTCGAGAGAGAAGGAAGAGGTAGTAATCCTATATAGAAAGACATCAGTGAAAATTCCTAGAATTTATTCTTGGGATTTCAGAGACCTTTGGAGGTATTTAAAGAGATTGAGAAACACTTTTAAACACATTGGGTATGTCCAATTCGTATATAAATAGTTTGAGAGATTGAGAAACATTTTAGTAGAAAATAAGGGTTGTTTAGGAACTTGGGTCACTATTTTCTCATCAATGTTTTCTAATCTCCTCCACGCGTATATATCATCAGCATAATTAATATTGTTAGATTTTAATAGTGAAGACCATGGATACTAATTTGGGGCATCGATAAGTTTTTTAAAGACAACATCTTTTGCTTGTGAAAGGTGAATATGCAAGCAATATTAACTCAACAGAAGTGTGTCAAAGCATCGAAATGTGAAGCATCAATGCATACACAGCTAACAAAATAGAGAAGACCAAGATGGTAAACAATCTTTGGTCGAAGCACAACACTTTCACCTGATTCATACCAATACAAATGTGTCATACACCTTCTACCATACAAAGCTTCAAAAGGTGTCGTTCTAATAATAGAATGGAACCTGTTGTTATAGGTAAACTTGATCGATGAAAAATAATTGTCCCAATTATCTCCCTGCTCGCAAAACACAAACTCTCAACAAATATTCTAAAGATTATAACCTATCCCCTTGACTGTGCATGAAGCGCAAGTATATGATGTTAAGTATGATGATTTCTGGACCAAGACAACTTGGAAACGACATAGATGTTTATTTAAGTCCATTACTTGAGGATTTAAGACTTTTGTGGGATAAAGGTGTTGACGTTGATGATGCATATTATGGTAAAAATGTTTAAGTTGCGTGCAATGTTATTTTGCATAATCAATGATTTTCCTGCATATGGTAATTTGGCTGGATATAGTGTCAAAGGACATAAAGTGTGTCCTATATTTGAATCTGATACTTGTTTTTACCAACTTGAGTTTGAAAAAAAGATTATTCACCTTAGGCATCATAAATTTCTAAAACCCAATCATTCTTGTCCTAGATTGCGGAAGGCTTTTTTACGGAGAGTAGGAGTTTGGAAACACTCATAAATCTTTAACTGGCGATAAAGTTTATCAACGACAAGAACACCTTAATATTGTCTTTAGAAAGAAAAATACGGTCCCGTTGAGAGAAATATTTGGGAAAAGAGATCGGTGTTCTTTGATCTTCCATATTGGTCTAGACTTGATGTAAGACATTGTCTTGATGTGATGCATGTGGAGAAAAATATGTGTGACGCTTTGATAGGAAAACTCTTAAACATTCTAGGAAAGACTAAATATGATAAGAATTCTCATTTAGATATGGTGGAGATGGATATACGACAATAGTTGGCTCCAGAAGATAGAGGAAAAAGATCTTGTTTGCCTTTGGCATGTCACACTTTATCTAAAAAGTAAAAGAAAAGTTTTTGCGAGTGTTTGCATGATATCAAGTTCTCCAAGGTTACTCTTCAAACATCAAGAAACTTGTGTCAATGAAATATCTCAAGTTAGTTGGCTTAAAATTTAATGATTGTCATGTCTTGATACAACAACTTCTACCAATGGCTATCCGTGGCATCCTTCTAAAAAATGTAAGAGTAACTAAAAAATGTAAGAGTAACTTCAATGTTATACGTAATAACGTTCTTGATTTCAAAAAATTAGATGAATTAGAAAATAAAGATGTAATAATATTGTGTCAATTGGAGATGTATTTTCCTCAATCAGTTTTTGACATTATAGTTCACTTACTTGTTCATCTAGTGAGAGAAATCAGATATTTTTGTCTAGTTTATTTAAGGTGAAAGTATCCTATAGAGCGATACATGAATATATTTAAAGGATATATGTAACATCCTAATTTTTCCATACACTAAATAATATATCTAGTTAGATTTGAGATTTTAACAATGCTAGTTATTAAAAATTAAATGTTGAAACTAACACTTATAATAATTAATTTATTAATTAATTACTTTTTATATTTATTACTTTTATTCTTCAATTTGAATATCATCGTTTCATTTTATAAACTAAACTTTGAAATTTAAATTGGTACTTAAAACCCTTAACTTTAAGTTAATTAATTATTCATATTATTATTATCATTATTGTTGTTCTTGTTTTGTTATTATTAATTGATTTTATTTTATTTGAATATTATCATTTTACTCTATAAACCAATTAATAAATAAAATAATCTTAAGACAATAAAAATATCAAATAACTATCCTTTTTACTATTTTTATTATTATTAATATTATTAACATTTTACTTTTTATAAAAGAAATATATATCTCATTTTCTATTAATATCCTACATAATATTATGTCATGAAATCAAGCTCCCATACCTTTGTCATAAATTATTTTCACAAAGTCATACTAGAACACCTAAAGCACTATTGATGAAAGATTAGTAAATATTTGATAGAGACATATTTACTAGCAAGAGTTGAAAAGTTGGAAGGTATGGGCAAAAGATGATAAATTATGTTATTTTAATATTTTACAACTAGTATAAATAGGGGTCTCTTCCACCCCATTTTCATTCATTCATTCACAAATCATCTTTCTTACTTCTTTACTTCTTTCCTTCT